AGCATTCTTAGGCTCATATATAAGATATAATGACCGAATCTGTATCTTTGTATTTTTATAACGCCAATGGATTCCCATGTATAGTCTTGGAAAAAGTTAACCTACCTGCCATACATTCTTCTAGTATATTACTAAAACAAATTATAAATAACTTTTATGAGTGACTAAACATAAGCAGATAACTGATAATTTTTCTGGAACAATATCTAATCCTTTCTTATGTTGCAAAAACATACTATATCAACTAGCCAAAACATTAAAGTATCAATGAATAATACAAATTTGTGAACGTGCAATCAATGAACAGCATGTGTCCAGGTCAGCTTCAGTCGTCACTTTCAAGTTGCCGATTTATCTCATTTCACTACATACTATAATATTATAATTAGACTTTTTGGTAACAGCAATTCTGAAACAGCAGTGCTTCAAACTACCCATGCTATGCAATAGTTAGTATCTATCAAAGAAAATAGATGCCACTTTTAGTAACAGACAACATATTAGCTGGCCATGCCTGCCATTACCACTGTCTTGTTTTGTTCACAGTAGGAAATATATTACCGCTGGCATTACTTACAATTTCAATTGTGATAAAGGACTTAATTTGCAGTAATGTATAATAAACTAATATAAAATTCATAACAACTGACTGGTTGTTGTTTTTGTTTTGTCCATATTACATGGAACAATGGTTGCCAGAGCCTACTCCGAAGAGAGGTTGGACTTTAGTGGTACAATAATTTACATAATGAAGATATAACTCTTGGATATAACTTTCTAGATTTAGTCATATGCTTATATCCACAGGCACTCATCGTTTATAAATGCCTACAATGGACATATAATCGATACGAGGCTCCTGGTAACTACAGAACACTGTATATTTCACTTAATCATGAATTCTTCTTAGATGGATGTATTTGGAACTCATCCATGCAAAGACAAAAACTGAATGACAGCAGAAAAAAGGTAGAAAGCATTATGGTTTTTATGGGCCCATAATCCACACAGAAAAAATTATATATCTCAATGCCATAGCTGATTAGATATGTTTTTAATGGTGAATGCACACCGGAGCAAATAGTGTCTTTCAAGATGACATTATTCTACTGTTAAGAAGGCTAAGGTGGTTTTGAGAAGACAGAAAAATTCCCTTTATTAACATAATAAAAATGTCAGGAGTTAAAATGGTTTCATAATTAAAAAAAAGGGTGGTATTTTCAGTTACAGCCACAATATCAAATATCAAGAAAAACATTGTAGGCATTTACAAATGTATGCACGTATGCATATATATATGTACATACATACATGCATATGTACACATATGGGCATTTTGATCCTAGCCTCAGAATACCTATAATAGTATTACTAAACGTATCAATAAATCTATGCTTTGTAAGGTGAAGCAATGAAAACACTTATGTTAGGTAGATTATGTTATTGTTTTGGCCAGTTAGCATGTGACCAGAAATACACTAGATATCATTAATTATAGAAAATTCACAAAAATGATGATTACTAAAAAATGTTACATGTAGAATTTAATGCAACTGGCCCACAGTATGCAACATATAATAAGGCATAAAATAAGATGAAAAGAAATTACCAGACAATTATATGGTGTTATAGAAATTAGCATATGTATAAAATGAACAAATTGGATGTGTTAATTTGGTACAGAAAAACTACCTTCAATATGGAGTATGATCTCCCTTAAAAGCAATACAACATATAAAGCGATGTGTGATAATGTCAGTTATGGTCTATGAGTTCCATAGGAAGTGAGAGCTGTTGTTCTTGCAAAGCAGTTGCAAGGGTCTGAAGAGGAGGAACTGAAAGCAGCTACATGTCTCTTTAAAGCATCCCAAACATGCACGATAGTATTCAAGTCTGATGATCGAGCTGGCCATTTCATGCACCGAAACATTTGCTGCTGAAGATAATCATCCACGATACGAGCCCTATGCAGTCTCTAGCATTGTCATTCTGTAGCAGGAAATTATCACCTACTGCTTTGGCATAAGGGCATACTTAAGCATCAAGAATGTCATCTCCATACAGTAAAGGTCAGTTCGACACCAACGTTTCGACGCGTGGTCAATTTGACACGAGGTCGTTTCAACGCGGGGTCAGTTCGACGCCATACTTTTTTGCTTTTGTTTTGACGCCATACTTTTCGTATTTTTATTTATTTTTAGAATAAGTTTGCATCATCATTCAAATAAATTTGGGGTCATCATCATTTGGTGTTTCACACCCCACATTATGAGAATTCGTAGAAGGTCTCAGGCGTGTTCAAAAATCAATTGATCAATGTTATGAACAATTTGTACGTGGAGATGAACTGCCGCACAAGCGAATAGATATCTGTGAGCTGATATGAAAATTAAAGTAATAGTTGAAGATTTTGAAAATCGAGAAATAATGGAATACCTGAAAGGTGTGGCGCATAATTTTGCAATGGATTAGTATAATAACAGTTCTGTGATGTAATCTTATTTATCTTTACTCTTATTTATGTGTAATACATTTACTATAATGCATGTATGATAAAATAATGTCTATGCAATCACATCAGAATTTTATGAAACAATGAATTCAATGGCATATATTTATAGTGCGAAAACTCAATAATAGTTTAAATAATGATTTCCATTTAAGTTAATAATAATACAATCAATTTAGAGCAAAAACAGTGCATTTACTATATAAAGAATTACTATTTTTTTTTAATATTGCAAAAAATGCCATGGAAAGTGTAGCAAAGATATAATTTTAGAAAAAAAGCGGGGAAATAAATAAAAAGCATTTGTATTTCCTTACACCACCTTGAGATATTAAAAAATGTTAGAAAAGGAACACAAGAAACTAGAATATTTTAACAGAACATTTTTAAAATAAATCTTAGAATTGATACCTTAGAATAACAGAAAGAATGTTATTTCATGAGCATGGAATAATCTTCAGTGCCACAAGAAAACTTCACTGTGCTTTTGAATAGTAATACTTTCAGTATAATTATTATTAATAGCACATATTTTTAACAGCCGGTAAAAAATCACTTGGTCAAGTGCTGTTTTTATAAATATTGAAATCTAAAATTAAATCATAATTTAGATTAAATTTAAATAATATTTAGATTCTGCATTTAAAAATCCCACTGAATTTGTTTAGTATTTAATTATTTATGAGACAAAATGTTTATGAAGCTCTTTATAAACTGCAGAGACTTGATAACTTCAGACCTTATTATGCAATTGTCTCCAATAAAACACAGTTCAGCTTCTTTTTAGCAACAGATCAAAGATTCTGCCTACCAAGAATCAGACGCATTGCTTACAGGCTTCAAACAAAGTAACAGCAACATGGTTGGAAGGATACATATACACCTTGCACAAAAGAAAATGGGACAGTTCTATATCTCTCGTTCAACTGGACCAATTGTTGAAATTTAACTTAGGTTTCCCATGTCTCGAAAGCGTGACTTAGGATATATATTAGATTATATGTAGCATTGTTCTAACATAAGTATTTTTGACACAAAATCAAGCTTTCTCTGAAATAACATACCATTTTTTTTCCATGTTTCGATTCTACGACTCGAATCGTGCCAAGTGTCATGTTTTGCAAAAATTGCATGAGTAGTTCTTAAAATATTAGCTCTCAAAATTTAGCTGCTCCATGTTAATTGAATTTGGTACATATTTATTAATATCTCTTTTTTTATTAAACTTATTTGATTTTTCCTTTCACATTTTGAAGTTTACGTTCATTCCAATGAAAAAAAGGAAAGGAAAATAGATTGCTATAAATTACGAAGTTTGCCAAATGAATTATTCTTGGCACAAACTGAAAAAATAGGTGCCAAGATAAATTTTTAAATTCCTCTATAAATTTCGCACCAAAAATTACAAAATTTAATATCTAGTCTAATTTGTATAATCGAAATATGGAAAAAAATTAGTATGTTATTTCAGAAAAAGTCAGATTTTGTGTCAAAATACCTATGTTAGAATAGTGCTATATATATATATATATACATATCTAATTTATATTCTAACATGCGCTTTTGAGACATGGAAAACACAAGTTAAATTTTGACAATCGGTTCAATAATATGGGAGATATAGAAACTGTCCCATTTTCTTTTGTGCAAGGTGCACATGTGTCCACACTAGCAGGTAATTGAATAGTGTTAGACAAAGCTTGTGTAATTGTATTGCAATCACTACAGCCTATATGCTCACTTCCTGTTGAGTTGGGGAACCTCCAGCATTTTTATAAAAACTTAAAGAGAGAATAATAATCAAAGTGGCCCATGACAAAAATGTACAAGAAGTTTACTCAAAGTCTATGGCAATGATATATTACCATACTGTAAGTTGAAGATAGGTTAATGCATTTTGTCCGATTCAGAATTTTCAATACATTTGGCCTATATTAGTCATCCATTTATTCCTAATGAGGAATGTTGACCCCCTTCACCAGAAATATTGATGAAAACTGAACTCATCAGAGTGTGCAGTATATCCTAATTCCAACCATATTTCCACCAATTATCTATACAGTAGGATCCTTGATTACTGTGATAAACAGAAATTTCTCACTGGTGGCAATAGATAATTTCTGTACATTTAGCAAAAGGTGCATGACTTAGGTGATGTACCAAAGGGGTGTTTTTTTAAAGTTTAATAAAATATTTGTGTTGCCTAAGCTGCCACTACTTTATTTACAATCCTCACGTAAATGTTAGGTACATGAAATGGACAAAAAATGTGAAGATATTTAAACAAACAATTGCCAGAAATAATACAGAAATACTTTATGAACATTTGAAATTTCTTTCAATTTTCATGGCTTTAATATTTTAAAATTCAAACAATGAAACTTCAAAACTTACTATAGAAAAATTTGTACCAACTACTAATATGTATGAAGTTGATTAACCTTAAAACACAGATATATAACCAGACAAAATACAAGATGAATTTGCTTACCCGACATGCAAAACAACCAGGATGCCATTGGCTATTCATAGCAGAAATATAATTTTCTGTGATAGGACGATTGCATCCAGCACATTTCAGTGCAAACATCTCCAAATAATCGTCACGGCAATATGGTTTACCATCCTTTTCATGGAAGCCTTCTTCTCCAAACTGCTTACCACACTGAGTACAGAAGAAATGTTCTGGGTGCCACGTCTTTTCTAACGCTGTGATACATTTCTATAACAGAAACAATATGTTATATCTGATATCAAGCTTCAATAGTTTATTATTCATGAAAAATAAAAGTTTAATTCTAACAATAGCCAACAGTTTATTAAATACTAGTTTTAAGATCTTAATATAGTATATAAGCTAAAAACATTAAGAGAATTTTTAAAAAATAATTTAAATGTACATAAAGCACATGATGTAATGATATAAGAAGTTTATTTCATTTCACATTTTAAATCCCAAAACAATTTATCAACTAGGAATATTCAATATTAAAAAGGCTTAGATTATTAATTCAGTAAGCTCAGATACTTCTGTTAAATTGCCTCTCACAATTGTAGATTAAAAAAAAAAAAAAACACAATTTCTATCTGCTTTAATTAAAAAATAACCAATTCGCTGAAGAATCCTTACTTTGTACTCTTATGTTTTGGTGGTGGGGAAGAAATTTTTAACAGTAATGACTTTTTTTAATTTTACAATAATATTCATAGTATCACTTTTTCAAAAAAGGAGTGATTGTAAAGTTACTCTACCCTTGTCAAGCAGCATATAACAACAAATCATACCATACTTGAAAATAATAAACTGTAGATAATCTGCAGCTTATAGTAATTGATGATGTTTATTAAAATTATTATTAAAAAACTTGGAGTAATTATTAATTCTCCCAGAATTAATGCTGAGAATCTAAGTAACAAATAAATAATAAATGCAGGTATTTTTAATTACTTTTTTATTTTTTAATACTGTAACAGTAAATACAAAAACTAAGTAAGATGAGGAATATGATTATACAATTTTAAAAATATATCAATGCTTATTTTTCTCATTATGCTTCAACAAGTCCCTTAAAATTGCATAATATGATTAAAATTTATATGGATGCAATTCTTTTACACCACTGAAAGTCTTTTTCACTGTTTTGTCATGACAGTAATTCAGTTTTCAAGTTCATTGACATACAAATTTCAGTTCAATATAACGAATTAAGTTTTAAGTTAAAAGAAAGGCCAAAAAACTTACAATTTTATACCATTTCTCCTTGCTTACCAACATATCCTCACAAAACAAAAAAGGAAAACTGGATACTTATATTTGATTATTTGCAAAAAGTTAATAGTTTATAAAGATACATTATATGGTTACATATTTACATTGAAAATAATTATTTTAATAAAAATTAATTTAAATTATTATTAGCACACACAGCATGCATTGATAAGTTAGCCGATTTATTGATTATGGCATAGTACATGAAGGTTATTTGTCTTAGAAAGGATGTCTTCATTGACCCACAGAACTAGCTTGTTTCATATTACATGCAGTAAAAATAGCGCTTACTGAGAAAATGGCACTATATTCTCTATTTATGCATTTTTCTAAGTGTATATGTAAGTTTTCTATAACAGACTGTAACATGGTTCACAAATTACAAGAGTAGCTATTCAATTTTATTGATAGCTAGCAACACTTTCTTTTTTCCAAGGGGTGCACATTTATTCATAAAGCATTCATTGAGAATGACATAACATTTACTCACCTTATCACTGCAAACATTGCCCAGAGGGAGTGACTGATATTATACCTCAAGGTTGGGGTAGACTACACAAACATTAATGCCTTCTCCAGGATTTGAATCTCAACCCCTTGACATAGAAGGCAGCATTGCTAACTTGCATAGCAAACGGACTGGTGGGTGGTAAATGGTAAATGTGAGAACTTTCTGCCTCATATAAAGTTATATAATCTTAATAAAATTATCTCATTTTATAAGACTGCCCAAAGTGTAATTCTACAACAAAGGTGTAACGGCATTCCATCCCAGACTTTTCATACTTTATTCATATTTAAATGCAGTAAAACTCCAACAATTAATTGAAATCACAATAAATCCAAATAATTAGAAAATATACAAAAATTGGTACTATGCTTTTTTTCTGGAAGAAGGGGGCATATATATATATATTTACTTTGATAAAAGCAAAAGATTTTTATCAAACTTATTTTATTTTAAATCTGACTGCACAGTTAAAAAAGAAAACAGTATTTTTAAGGTATTCATAAATAATATTCCATTTAAAAACATTAGCTAATAATTCATTCTTTCAGGATATTGTGAAGCAGTCTGATCCACATTAAAGGAAAACATATTTAGTCTAGTTAACATTTTGTCAAAAAAATTAAATGCAATCCATGAAAATTCCAGAAGAAAGGAAGCAGTTCAGCATTTGGTTCAAAGAGACAAATTCAGTAACAACTGAAATTTTAAAATTAAATACTGAAGATAGCAATCAGCTGTACCAAGGTTTAAAAGCAACCTAAAGAATTAAATAAGAAATTAATGATAAGATTAATATATATGCCTAAGCATGGAAAGATATTGAATACTGGCTTCATGGGACTCTCTGTATTAATGTATGCAAGACAAAAAGAGTATTTGTTTAACATGAACAAACTGCATGAAATACCTTAAAAATTAATATTCTACTTACTCCCAATATAGCAGCATTACAATAAGCACACTTTGGAGAAAATATGTTGTGATAATCTGTTTCACAATAAGGTACACCATCTCGCTCAAAAAAGTTCTTTGTTCCAAGCTCCTGGTGGCAATGTCCACACACAAAGTGTTCTTTGTGCCAAGTTTTGCCTAAAGCTGTGACAACCTTTCAAAGCCATAGAAAGAAAAAATTAAACAAATCTTTTTTAAAAAGGAAAAAGAATTAAAAAATAAGTTAAGTATAGGAAATTTCTATATATGACCACTTCTATTAACCCTTTGACATGCCATAGTCGCGCCCTGAAACCACCATTTTTCGATTTTCCCCCCTCTTTTTCCTGAAATTTTTGAGTGAAAATCAATTGATTACTGATTAGGTATTAATACTTCATATCGAATGCCTTTTAAAATTTGTTTTCAATGAGACAAAATAACTTCCTTTTATTAATATAAACAACTTTAGTTTCAAAAGTTATTCATCGCACATCATGGTTTCTATCAAAAACAATAAAAAATTGCAATAATTAAACTGCATATATTAAAACAAACCTCTATATGTATGGCATTTGCTATGTGCTTTCAGGGCACGACCACTCCGCCACTAGAGCATTGTGTGTCACAATGCTCACAATCCTCTAGAGGCTTGGTGTCCACGCCTTGAAACCACTGCTCTTCTCAATGGTGTTTGCTTGCTTTTCAAATAGGAATGTTTATTTTTACCTGGATATAGATAAGGAAGGGGCTTTGAAAGCACAGAGTTAATTTACTACTAAACAATACATGCACCTTGCCCAGTGAAAATGTCTTTCATTGTCCAGAGATTTTTCTCTGACCTCAACACACTTACTTCCCCTATGCTAGTATTGTAATTTTATACATTATATTGTGTGGTTTAAATATAATGTAAATATACTTTGCTATAATTAAAAATAGAAATCGTGAGAGTTTAAATAAAAATTTTAAGTTTTATTTAAATTAAAAATATTTTCTGAATATTTTGTGACAAAATACGAATAAAATAAATATGAATGAGAAACGATCAATCCGTACAAAGCAAAAAAGACCAAGCCCCCCTCCCATTAACATAAAAAAACACAAATTTCATGTGCCAGATGAAAAGAAACTAAATAACACTGAACGAAATTTAGATCCAGGCAGTCTACATTTTGTAGCACAAGGAAGAAACCTCATAGAGCAAGAAACATACAAAAAAAATTGTTTTCTGAAATAAAAAAAAACACAAAAAAAACAAGAGTTTTTTTAATCCTTATTTTACTGAGTTTTTTAATCCATTTATCTAAACATCCTTATTATGTAGGTACTTATATTTCACTGCTATAGAAAAACTACATAAATGTTTATTTTTTAATTTTTACTGACGATTTATGTTGTAAAATATTGTCAACAAATTATACATAATGCAATTCTTACATAATTTTTTTTTAAATTTGTACATTTCGTCATTTATTGGAAACACACAGAAAAAGGTAAGTTTTTTTCCCCCTACTACCTCAGTAAGTTTCAAAGTCCTAGGCGCACGGTGGTTTCACAGTGCGATCACCACTCATAGAACAATGGGTAAGAGTAAATTTTTTAAATTCATATATTATTTGTCTCTAGGATCATAATATTCAATTTCTAGAGTTTTTAGTTAAAAAAATTATAAAAATAATATCATCTGCCAAAGGGTTAATTAATAGCAATAACACACAATGTTATTAATACCTTTACTGCACTACAGCACATATCTGAAAATGTTACAAATGGGTTATATCATTTTTTTTTTCTGAGAGGGGTAGCCCATATTTTCAGGTATTTGTCTGAAAAATACATAGTATCAGAAATGTTGATCTAATTAATTATTTAAAACAGGATATTGAATAATTTTTTATCCATCCTTCTAATGAGAGCAAAAATATTCTAGTCTGATTGTTCTAATGATCTGGCCATTTTGCCTTGATTTCTTCACTTTTGCCTACGCTCTAAAACTGGTCTTACTGGTTCTCGACCTTTTCTTTTCCTTTTTTTTAAAATTTTTTTTATAATACTTTAGTTTTAGTATTTAATATGATTTTACTGTAAATATAGATTTGCTACTAAGTGCAATTATTCCTTTGGTTTAGATAACATTTACATTTTAAAGATTTTTCTTAATTTCTTTACCTGTACATATATATACAAACATATAATAATCTTGGAAGAGAGAGAAATATGGAAAAAAAACAAGCTTGAATTCAGATGTAACAAAATCTCCATACTAAACTCACACCAATGAAAAATTTAATTACAATTACACCAGTTTTTTTTTAAAAAAAAGAAATGGAATTGATGCTGCAATGCTTTCTAGCAAATTGCAGTTAGAAAAGACAGAATACAGTCAAAAGTCGTTAATTCGGACACCCATAATCCGGAATGATCTATAATCCGGACCTCAAAGCTTCAAACTTTCTGCACATGCGTTGCGTTGAAGAATGCGCGTAAGGCCTTTACGGCTGAGAATATGCTTGTGCGCGTGCGCAAAATACGTTTACGAGTGCGCGTTTAATGTATAACGGACGGTAAAAGCTAAGCTAAAATTATTTAATTATCTATTTCAGTTAATGTTGCAGATTTCGTTGTTCCTTAATCTTCGAATTGGATCCGGCTTATTATTTTTTGCAGACTGTTAGAGCAATTTTATAAAAGTAAGCTTGAACTTTCGATTATGTCAAATAGAATTTCTGATATATATTTATTAATATGTAAATGATCTACAAAGCGAAAGTATGTTTTGAAGTTCATTAAACAAAAAGTGGAATTGTTACAAAAAATGGATAAAGGCATATACTTTGTTTATCTAAAGTTTAACGTTTGTTTATCTAAACTTTGTTTATCTTTAATGCCGCGGCGCTGCACAATGAATTGGAAGTTGATCTGTCAGCACTATCCTTATCTTCAGGGCAGATGTTTTTATTTTATTTGGCTTATAATTCCTTATTAAATGTAGTATTTCATCTCGATGTATCCCATCTTTGATATGATTTAAATCAAATTCCTCATCATTATAATTCGCTTCCGATAGCGAAGAAAGTAACAGAGGTTATTGAAAACGAAAAAATTTCAATTGACAAATTAGTCGGTATTCTCGACACAGCAATTATAGGACTTGAACAGTGGAACTTTGTAACTGAACAAGAAATATTTTAAATAATAAATAATATTCCCCTATTTCCAAATATTCCCCCTATTTCCAATACTGTACATCTTCATGAGATTGTTTCTCTCTTCCTTGGGTGAAAAACTGGTACATAGCTAGTTACAGATAAATACTGCATATCATATACATTTCAGAAGTCAAACAACAAAAATCAGCATTATATTTTCAAAATTTTCACAGGACTAGTTTCGATGGTTTTACTGAACCACCATCCTCAGCTGCAAAACCGCAAAATGACCGCTGCAAACCACATTTTGCGGTTTTGCAGCTGAGGATGATGGTTCGGTAAAACCACCAAAACTAGTCCTGTGAAAATTTTGAAAATATAACGCTGATTTTTGTTGTTCGACTTTTGAATTAGTATTTATTCGGCGTGTTATTGTGTCTTAATCATATACATATTTTTCTATTTTATCCTTCTTGTTAATTTTATGTATCATTATTTGCATTTTCTGCCAAATTTGTTACTTCATCCAAAATATTACATCTTTAAATATCGTTTAACGAATAGTTAGAATCTAAAGTTTAATGCATGATTTCTATATCTTTATTTCAATAATTTTAAATAGGCTAATCGTCTTACATTTCCCTTAAAACTTTAAATGTTCCATCAAAAATTAAGTTTATAAAGACATATTTAGCATATGAATGAAGTTTCTGTTAGCCCAGTTCTTTTTCCATACAAACATAACTCTGCTTTTTTACTTTTAGGCCTACATGTACAGCCCTGGGCCTTAGCGATGAGTTTTAAGGGCCTTGAAATCATCTCATAATTTTGTAATGATAATGGTGAGATAAATGCCACCACACATCATGAAGTTCAATCCTTGCTGTTAGAGTTGGAACAATATCATACCTATGTTGCATTTAAAAAAAAAAAAAAAAAAAGAAAGAAAGAAAGAAAGAAAGAGAGAGACTGAAAAATAATATAGTAAAATACGACTTTGCAAGGGATATCGATTTTGTAAATGCATTTATTATATGTATAATGCACACTTTTAAATTCTGACCATATAAAATCATCCAGATGAGTTCCAGAGATATTTAACAAGAAGGTGAATATTTTATATTTCTGTATAAATGGTAAAGTGATTCATTTAAAATATTTCTACATTTACAATTTCAAAAATTATTTTAACTGAATTTATAAATGTGTAATTGCTAATTATGCAATAACTATAAAATATTGCCTCTAGTAGTTGCATAATATTTAGATCTGCATCATTTTCATGGCTAAATATTGCATAACACTAACACTGCTCGTTGAGTGATTGTTAACCTTTATCTAATAAATGGATATAAAGCCTTTTACACCTATTTTCTAACCTTGATTTTTAGCAATACTTGAGAATTTTAGAGGTAAATAAAGGCAAGAAAATTCAAAACTCAGAATAGTTCTTGGAAATAAGAAGGACAGAATAAAGAGTTATAACTAGTTTATGAAACTTAACTAGCACGCTTTTATAAACTGTAGAGAAGAAAACATACACTTTATATTGCAGATAAGAAAAAAAAAAAAAAAAAAAAAAAAAAAAAAAAAAATGGATATTAAACTGGTATTTTAAATTAACTTTGAAATGAACATGAAAGTTACTTAGTGAAACATAATGACATGGGCAGTTATTTTTACAGACTAAAAGTGTTTATTAAAATTTGAACCACTGCTGTTGCCTCACCCTGCCACTCCCTTTCACTTGCACATAGTAGTTCCCATTTGAAAGTATAGCCATTTGCATAAAATTCAGTTCAGTGTAATAAGCAATAAAATAAAATTTTATTATGCAATTTTTAAAATTTTCCAAATGTTGAGAATTTAATGAAGGGGGGGGGAAGAAGCTATTTGAGTATATTTTCCTTTTAAAGATATTTAAAGATTTAGTTATATCAAATTAATTCTTTAAAATTTTGAGATTTATGCCCCAATTTAATAAAAATTTGTATTTTTAATAATTTATTTCATTCTTATAATTAATTCATTAGCATTCTAAGTTAAATAACCAAATTAATCTTGTAGTACCTTCACAAAATTTTAAAAAAGTCATTTAATTTATAAAGCAATTTTAATTATTCAACCAGAGAGAGAAAACAGTTCTTACATTACACTTTGACTATTTTAGATATCTGGTAAAAATCAAACAATATTTTAAGAAGGAAAAAAAAAAAAAAAAAATTACAACATGCTTACATGATAAAAACCTTACCTGGCCAACTATGGGCTTATTGCATGCAGTGCAATGACCTTTAGGGCTTGTGTTAACTCCTTGTTTGCTCATGTCAGATTGTAGAGTACCGAGCATAGAATCCAACTGATCTACACCCTTGTTGCTGCCGGTTGGTGATCGGCTCACCTTATGCGGCTTAGCGTACTGTGTTTCAGGTGTCTTGTTTGGCTGAGTATGCTACAAATGTACAAATAAGTTATATTCAGTTGCTAACTAAATGCACTATGCGTTAGTAAAGAGTATGCCTAATAGACATCAGCTAACATAAAGTGGTTGCTTTCAGAACAGTTTGCTGGGAAAAAATGTTTCAAAACTTCCAAGTGGCAAAAGTGGGGCCTCACAGCACTGTGGGAAAACTCCACATTATTTTCTTTATCATTTTCCCATCAACACCCAAGCCGAGAACTCTGATTCGGCAAGTTCAGTTACAAGTTGACTGAAAAGGGCAGACTGGCAGGATTGGCAGGCAACATAAGAAGGGAAAGATCCCCAAATTAAGGGAAGTGGCCTACATCCCTCTTCAAAAGTATGATGGGACTATTTTGAGGAGAAGAGTGGGTGGCTTGACAGGGAGCAGTTGTAGGAGATTTTCTAAGCCACATGTTTGGGCTATTTTTAGAAACAGGTCCTGGCAAGAGGGATGCTACAGAGCATGTCTCTCACACCCACTCTCCTCCTGGGTTTCCATAAATATGTAAACCACTTGACTGAAGGAGCTGTGAGAAATGAGTTCCATTTAGAAATAGAAACAATAGTTTTGAGCAAATATAATTCCATAAATACATCTAGGTTGTTTGGATAAAATGACTTACCATTATCTTATTTTAACTGAAGCCTCCAATTAAAATAGCACAAAATATCACAATATTCATACAAAAATATTTTTTAAATACATTTCAATATATTAAGAAGTATACTGACAAAATTCAAAAAGAAAAAGAAAAAAAAAAAAAAAAAAAAAAAATACTAGCAAATATTTGAAACAATTATATTAAAAATTTTTATTTATTCCATTCTGTTATTATAATGATATGCATAACGTATGTAATATGTGTTATGTTCTAAAGGAATTGCAAATGAGTTTTAAGTAATTATAGTTAAACAGGTATATTAAAAATCTGATTAGGTCACAAAATTGTAAGCATCAATAGCCAGATTAAAACATTTTCTTCATAAAATGTGCTTCTGAAAACCATATTCATCCTCAAAGTATATGTTCAAATAATTTATTATACGTTCTTTAAGATAAAAAAGAAAGCAGATTTATTTAGTTTTATTTGAAAATATGTTAAATACCAGCACTTGTATAAAGCAGTTTTAAAGTTGTTAAAATATATAGACCAAATTTTAAATTTCTAAACATATAAAATTAGCATTCAAGTTGCTTCTGCTTTTAAATTTTGTCTTAAATCCTTTGTCTGTGACACCTTCCAAGCAAAAGACAAAGGCAATTCATTTAACACGAATTCTGCATATCTTTGATGTGGCAGCATGGAAGTCAGAAATGTTCTTAATTCTGTGTCAGTTAATGAAGCAAATAAAAGCTCACATTAGGAAGTCACCCCATTAAAAGTATGGACAAATAAAGTTACTTAATTTTTCTAAGAAAGAATCTGTAGTCCTTATTATATGCTTATTTAAGCTAAAAGGTTTTGTTTTATTTTCATTTTGTTTCAATGAAATACGATAACAAATGCAGAAATAAGAACAACTAATCATGCCAAAATTGTATTAGAAATAAAAGCATATTCATCATAAAATCCTTTTTTAAAAATCTTAATGGCTAAAAAGCATACAATTTGCATCTTTAAATGGCAGCACATTTTTTTGCATGCCATTTTAAAGATTCAAATTTTACTTGTTTAAGCTAAAAGGAAGTATTATTTAACATTTCAACTTCCTTCACTCAAAGTCAGTTTGATGACTAAAAATGTGAAAATAAAAAACAGAAAAAGTAAATATTTGTGTGTGTGTGTATTTAATTATGGCAAAGGCACACTAGGGCTATCTGCCTAAGGGGAGGGATGCCTTCGTGGAGGACTTTCTAAGGGAAACTGGCTCGTATACATGTTACACATGGGGAAAAACCACGAAAACACCCATGCAGCCAGCCTGTCCGCGGGATTTGAACCTCGGACCTAACTACCAGTGTTCAGCGACTTTACCGCTCGGCCGCTGGTGGGCACAGAGTAAATATTTAAAAACATGCAAATAAAAGAGTAAAACACATATAAAAAAGCTCACATATTCAAATACTTCCTTTTAGCTAAAATAAAATTTATAAATATTCCCTTCTGTCTTGCATTTTATATCTAAAATTTTTCTATTTTAATTAATTATTACTATCTAATCTGCTCTGATATGAGTCTAAAACAAAAAATTTAAATAAATATTGTAAAAATTAGTTATTAAATTTACAACTGTGCACTTTATAAATAGAATATGCGATAGCAATGCTAAAAAGGAAACTTATAACAATAATTATATAAAACAAAGCATTTCCAGAATATACTTGACTGAAGGTAAAGCTGATTGAAAATAAGGGAGAAAGCACCATGAGAGAAATTCAAACTTTAGTTTTAAATTTGTACAAAAGCATACAGACCTTAAAATCAGACAATGATGCCATTAAGTCATCTAATTCTTTAGTAGCAGAGGAAGCTGCAGGAGCTGCTGATTCAATGGTCTGAGGGTGCGGTGGGAAGGAGCTCACGGAATTTATAATTGGAGCTTGAACAGTCTGTTTATACTTAACATTAGAACTGAAAATGAAAAGAAGACAATATTTTTAACAAATAACTTAACTTAAAGAATAGTATGCTACAGATGAAATGGATATACAATGAATAGGATTTCTTCAAGTAATATTTGATATTAAAACAAGACGGCCGATAAAAATTGGAAGGCCAGTTGAATTGATTATGGAAAAGAATACAAACAAAATTTTAAAAAGTCTGCTTTAATGCAGATGCTTTTGTAGAGAATTTCTAGTGGCAAAACTGGCTTATATTCACCCCACACATACAGAAAATTAAATATGTATGTGAACAGCCTGTTTGCCAAGACTAAAGTTTGGAAGAAATTACCAGTGCTCAGTGATCTTATTTGCTCAACTATTAGCAGGCTAACTAGAAAAAGAAGTACACCACTTCCACTGTTTTTAATGTACGGTTATCACAGAAACAAAATTAAAGAGCTGCACATAGATAAAATACTGATATCCCCCATCACATGATCACCATATTCAATTCTAATTTTCTAGCAGTAAATCCCGTATACAGACGAGTCAAACAGTGATCTGTTAACGATTCTTGAAAATGTTAATGATGCTTAGGAAATTAAATTCAAAACATATTGCAAAAAGAAATTTGACATGTTTATTTTGCTAAAATACATGTCATATTCAAAGTTAGATTCAATACCTCTAATTTAATACTGAGACAAGAAATAATCACGAAATACGTAGAAGAAAAGTATACCACTTTAATAATAAATTTCTTAAATTTACAGCAAATTTAATATCACAAAAATAATTTAAAAGCCAAATGGAGTAATTCTCTTTAAATCAATCATATGCACCTGACTGGAGCTTACTGTGCCTAACTTTAATACTAACAATTATAGAAATTAAAAAATGAACGACTTTTTTGACAAGTTTTTTATATATATTACAATAGTATTATGAATTTTTAAAAGTTTTTTTAAAATGCTCTGCAACTTCGTATATATCTTTAATAAAAAGAACTTGTACTAACATACAAAACAGAGAGATGCCAATATCATTTAACTTAACCATGTGCACTTAATCAAGTGTAACTTCCAAATCACAGTAAAAATTAAAAACAAACCAAATTTAATTAATTGCTTTAGAAATTTTCTTGAGATTTAATGCATATATTAGAAATCAAATATAAACTCCTATTACACATTATCTTTTTACATCCTTACATCAGGAATTTTAATTCTGAAATTTACTTCCAGATTGTAAAAGTTTTCTTTTTAATATTTTCAAAACAAACAAGAGTCCATTCTGAAAAATACTGCTTAAATTTAATATGTTACCATTCCTACTAAAAAAACAGTGTTCCACAGGAATCATTACAGAAATGCAACATGAAAATTTAAAAATTAAAAACTGTTTCTATATATAGAAAACATTTTTATTGATGTAATGAATTTTAAACTAACTGCTTTGGAGATTCTGGCAATCCACTCTGCAGTTCATCCAAAAGGCTGTCAACGGTAGGTCGCACAGGTTCTGGAACACCATTGGCAGCCATTTTATTTGAAGAGGTCTCATTAGTGTAGATATTATAACCTGGTGACTGGTAACCTGAAAAAAAAGGGGGGGACTTATTATAAGAACGTTAACATAAAAGATACTACTGATACTTACAATAAAATGAACTCACTAATAAAACAGAACTTTTGACCACAGATATTATGACCCTCTTTGGCTCCCTGGCAAAACATTTCAATCCTATTCAGGACTGTCAGGCACAAAAACATGCATTTGAGGAGATTAATGCACATGGTTACTTTAGCTGATTCAGGAAGTCATGTGAAAGAATTATTATTGCAAACTTCTACCAAAACAGTTATTGAATATTTTTTATTACACCATTATGTCTAATTAAAAGGAGAATAAAAGGGAAAAAATATAAAAAAAAAGAGGAAATAAATTTAAAATGCTTTTAATCATGACTTCGTAGAGAAAAGTAAAAATTATGTTTTTCCTTACATTAATTTATACAAAGTATCTCAGCAATACAAATATATTTTCACGAGTAATAAATGAAAATTTGCAAGTAAAGGTCTAGCGACTAAAAATACTGTTTCTTTTTTAAATAATGTTTATTAAAATTAGCAATATAATTAAACAAAACACTCTTTTTTTTTTTTTTTTTTTAAACAAAATTAATGCAGTCAGTTTCTGCTTATACAAGGGCAGATTTAGCAGATTGAGAATCAATCAGGCGTGAAATAAAACAAGTTACATTTGTTAGTGATTAAAAAATATACTATCCCAAGCTATCAGCAAAATAAAAATGGCAATAAAAATGATAAAAAAAGGAGGAATATATGTGGGGTAAAAGCAGGGACAGTTGATGATGTAGTATCTGAAAATTGCATTTAGCCACAAAATACGTAAATTAACTTTTCATAACTGGGATACAAAAAATTCTAATCCACTTTTCTACATAAGTTTGATCTCAATGGCATTGTTTAAGTTATATTACAAATATTATTTTTTAATACCATTTCTAAATTTATTTCAATAATTCCTAATAGCATGTATTTTCACCATCACTTGTAATTTCTTTGTTTTCTCTTTTTTACTTCCTTGTATGAAGTAAAGAAAGTATGATAATTGCGAAAAATTTCAGGTATCATATTTCAATGAAAATAGCCATTTCAACCGCTCTCGAAACCATTTAAACAATGTTTTTGATTGACATCTGTATATACAGACAGAATAAAAGTCTGTTTTGGGAAAAAAAGGTTTGTAAAATGGATTCAGAAGAGTTTTTTTGTTTTGTTTTGTTGTTGTTGACGACTGTATGTACAAACATAATGTATGTATCTCACATAACTCAAGAATGAGTAGCTGTAGAACATTGAAATTTCATACATGGGACTGCTGTAACACACTGCACAACCCTTTTTGATTTCAATCGGCTGCATTACTCATATATAAATATATATATTCCCACTCTGTTACCTGGCTTGATGAGCTTAGTATTTTTACTCTTATATGTTGGTAAACTGTGCATTATTTGCTTTGAGAGTGATTGAATTATGTGATTTTTATGTTTTGGTTAAGATTTTTATGCCTTTTTTAATCTGCATGCAGTAGTTGTAGAATTATCAACAATTTAAAAGCTTAAGTGGCAAGTTAAGCCTAATGAACTGCCATTTGTTTACATTTGAAACTCAGTAGAATATTGAATTAAGTCAGTTTCTGCATCTTCAATGTATTTTTGCCGATTGAGGCCAAAAGTAAACTTTCAGTTTTGTGCACCGAAAAAAATCTGCCTTCTTGGCCACTTGCCAAATTGCTTGTTTTTGCATAGAAACTCAAATTTTAATTGAAAAAAAAATTGTGCATTTTTACAATTCACGTTTTTCTGTATTCTACAATTTTAATTAATGATGTTTTAAGTTTTTATGTATTTTTGCTTTGCCACAAAATGAGAACGAAATTAATTGAATGAGAAATATATCTCTAATGAAATTAGAGGAAATAAGCTTAAATGAAATGCAGCAAAAAATGTGTAAACTTAACAGGCCATACAAGGAAGTCATGTGGTGTCCACTTTATTTTGTTTGCTTGTTCTGACTACTGATTTAACTTATGCAGTCAAACTAATTTTTTCTTCAGATTAAATTCTTTAAAGTATAAGTAAACTGTTAACAGTATTTTCTCTTAATTATAATACAGGTTACCCAGGTTAACAGGAGTTGATTATATACAATGCATATACATGGGTGGTATTAATCAATTTTGTCTTTAAATAAAACTTCTACAAAAAAGCACATTACTATTATAACAGAAATAAAATTTTTAAAATGAAACCTACCTTTTTTGCCAGAGTGATATGCATAGCGGGCAGAATTAAGATCCTCCAATAAACTGTCCAATTCAGATAAATTACTTGCAAAATCTGGCTTAGAATTTGATTTTTCATTCATGGCACTGTGAATGGCATGCTGATTTTGATAGATCGGCTGAAAATACAAAGGATCACAAAATTTAAAATAATTAAAAAGAGTATTAACCAAAAATATTACAACTAGAATTTTACTATTCTTCATTTTCTAAAATTTTAAATTTAAGGTAACTACGTCATTAGCATTAAGCAAGAAATGCGACATAGATTAATCTAGAAATGGCACAGTCTATGCGACATAGATTAATCTAGAAATGGCACAGTCTGGTATATATATATAATTCAATTTCAAAGTGAAGTAAAAAAAGGAGAAAATATAATGCCAAAAACAAAGGTAAACCTATAATCCTATCTATGTGAAGTTAGTGAAATAACCAAAATTACTTGCAAACTATGGGAAAATAGTTTAAAAAAAAAAGAATCCAAAGTAAAACCAATGAAACTACTGTCTAAGCCTATACGAATATTTTATTTAAAATGGCACAATGTGCAACACAAATACATAAAAAAAGGCAATATCCTTTGTTTAACGCTTCAAACAGAACTTGTCAGGAGATAAATGTTTTTTAAGTTCTTAAACTCAGTTTATTAATGAGTTCTGAATGCATTTTTTTTCCTCTGAACCATTTGAGACTCAAAATCATTTTTGCTATTCTTTCATCATAAAATTTAAAATGATTTTTCAAATGAGTCTCGAACAAGCTGAGATCTTTCCACTGCACGCATTTGTACTCAAAGAGCACAAAAATACATATATACATGAGACCTAAAGTCTAAATGCGAAAATCAAATAAATTACTCAACCTAAAATAAAATGAAAACCCTGATATAAAAATATTTCACTTCAAATCCCCCCCCCCCCAAAAAAAAAAAAAAAAATTTAACGTAGTTTCAACTACGTAAAAAATGTTTGAAATGGTAGCACAAATTAGCCCAAGGTTAAAGTAACAGATTATTGATAAGCTTAGTCGTTTCGGAGAGTGATCATCTTTGTTAATTAAATAACTAATCATTCAGTAATGTCTAGCTCTTTCAATTATCTTTCTTCGAGGAACTATAATAATTTAATCACAAATTTTCTAAGAACCACTTTGCATACATATATTTCGTTACATAAGACGGCAAAAATAAGAAGCCAAAGAATGATATGCACCATCACGATGAAAAGATGAGAGTGTGATAGAAATTTAAAACACCATGAAAAAAATTACCTGGTCATCTGGGGCTCCATTGCGATATTCGTAACGTTCTGTAGTAACCGTTGTGGTAACTGTAGCGTTTCGAAGGACGAGGACCGTGCGACATCACGGCAGCATAACTATTCCCACTCGATGAAGTGGGACACGTATTGGAAGACAAGTTCAGTTGTGTTTGGCTCTGCAAATCCGCCAACAGTGCATCTAAAAGGACAAAATTCAGTATTTAATATGCAAATTCATTTAAAAGTTTATTAAGAAAGGGCACGTAATTAAAAACATTCTCTTTATGTTTCATTAAACGTACAATAAAAGCATACGTAGCCAAACAATAGTAAACTGAACAAAAATGAATGAAAAAGTATTCAAATTCCCCAACTATTAGCGAAGTTGTAGCCATTGTTTGAGTCACAGTATATATAATTTAGTAATACTCCACGAAAATCCATTTTTCAATAACTACAAATGAATTTCAAGTTCACCAAATATTAGTGAAATTATAGGCATTTTTTGAAACATACAGGAAACAAAAAATAAATCAAATAAAGCTTACATTTCTTATCCGTACTATACTACAGATTATAGCAGGTTTGTCTAAGGAGTTCCAGAACTGATCTTAGTACTAAGAGACAAATCATGGAAATGAAAATTAACTTTATTTTTCAAAATAATTATCTCCAGTAACGATACGTTCTAGTGCACGATTGTACAAGTTGCTGAAATGGGTTGTTTCATAGTTATCTGAAGATAGACACTGAAGTCCCACTTTCACCCCTTTTTCAAGCTCCTGTATATCAGAAAATCTGCACCCTTTTATAGTGGGTTTCAGTATCAGAAACATAAAGCAGTCTTTTGTGGCAGAATAGGGAGGACGGTTCACTTCCTTAATTTTTCTGTTAGTCAAGAGCTGTTTCATGTGAACAGCAGTGTGTAGTAAATGCAAAAGAAAGCAAATACCTTTCTTCCAGAAACTGAGATCTGAAATTCCCCCCCCCCCCCAATGTCGGGCACTTTGCCCATAACGACACTGGCCATTTCTAAGGCCAGAAGTGGTGGCCATTTTATCGTGGAGGCAGCGAACAGGCGGCAACCATTAAGGAACAGACAATTATACAACCATGCCTTTTCCGGTATTCGAAACCAGGCCTTTCGGTATCGCAGTCAGGCTCTCCTAACTACTGCACCGTCTGAGTGGCCTGAGGTCTAACATTAATGTAGTCTTTTTACCAATCTACCAAAAACTGCTGCATAATACAGTGAAAAGTCGTTAATCCGGACTCGTCGGGACTTCGGAGATTCCGGATTATCGATTTTTCCTGATTATAGATCATCAGTTTAAATTTGGTAAGATGGCATGCAGAAATTATAAAATTAAAAATATGAAACCGTAATTTATGAAATAAAGAACAATTATGATCTAAAGGGTATCAAAATTTACAAAAAAAAGCTTAATATTTATTTGTTTACTTTATTAAACATTTCTTTCAATGTAAGTTGTTTAAGTTTCTTCTTTTTTATGTGATAATACATTCTCTTTAATTCTTTAAGACATAATTTCTTGTTCAGTTACAAAGTTCCGCTGTTCAAGTCCTATAATTGCTGTGTCGAGAATACCGACTAATTTGTCAATTGAAATGTTTTCGTTTTCAATAACCTCTGTCACTTTCTTCGCTATCGGAAGCGAATTATAATGACGAGGAATTTGATTTAAATCATATCAAAGATGGGGTACATAGAGATGAAATACTACATTTAATAAGGAATTATAAGCCAAATAAAATAAAAACATCTTCCCTGAAGATAAGGATAGTGCTGACAGATCAACTTCCAATTCATAGCGCGGCGCCGCGGCGTTAAAGATAAACAAACGTTAAAGTTTAGATAAACGAAGGATATGCCTTTATCCATTTTTTGTAACAATTCCACTTTTTGTTTAATGAACTTCAAAACATACTTTCGCTTTGTAGATCATTTACATATTAATAAATATATATTAGAAATTCTATTTGACATAATCGAAAGTTCAAGCTTACTTTTATAAAATTGCTCTAACAGTCTGCAAAAAATAATAAGCCAGATCCAATTCGAAGATTAAGGAACAACGAAATCTGCAACATTAACTGAAATAGATAATTAAATAATTTTAGCTTAGCTTTTACCGTCCGTTATACATTAAACGCGCACTCGTAAACGTATTTTGCGCACGCGCACAAGCATATTCTCAGCCGTAAAGGCCTTACGCGCATTCGTCAACGCGATGCATGCGCAGAAAGTTTGAAGCTTTGAGATCCGGATTATAGATCATTCCGGATTATGGGTGTCCGAATTAACTATATTCTATACTTTGCTTACCAGAACACAGAATATTGATTTCGGATACACTTTATCTTTTCTGTTAATCAGGAACTACAGATTCACGTGCAGGCAACATTTCTGCCAAAACATAACAGTTTCATTATTTTCGCTTACATTAAAAACGAACATTTGGGCTAAGAATAATCGCTTTGTGTGAATATATATTCAAGGCGAACACCTTCTTTTCGCAGAACCCGACTGACCGATGAGCATCTGCAATTTGTGATGAAGATAATTTCTAACCAGGGCTACAAACTTAATCAGAATCGGAATGTCATCAAGTATCCAGCTGCAGTAAGAAATAAATTAGTTCATAATCATTTACACACAAATACATAGATTTTTATTAAGCCTCGAAATATGTTACTCTTTATTCTCAAGTTCGTCCTACTTGAAAAATATACAAAGCTTTTATAATTTTTTAATAGTTTAAATTAAAGTAAGCTATTTAACGGTTAATTTAACATGTTAGAATTATTCGAAACAAATTTCAGGCTGTAGAGTTCCTCACTTTGTAATTCTAAGTTAATGTTGGAAGTGAAAAATCTTAAGAACTGATAAAGCGAATAATCGCTCAAGTTCGGGTGACAAGAAACAGCAAGATAGAAGGGTAAATAACCCTTTATTATTCCAATAAGATTTAACAAAACTCCGCCTGGGAGTGTACAAACAAAGCCGACACTTGGGCTTGAACTTAAGAGACTAAGAATTCAACTAAAACTAAGATTAACTAAAGAAATATAGCCGAAGCTATCAAAGATTCTAATCAGAGTTCGGCCCCTTAACTGATTAATAGATTACGAAAGCTGTAGCAAGGGCCTAAACTACGGCCGAGCGTGATAACAGCTTAGAGAGAGTAGCCTTAAAAAGGCGGACGCTTGCAGCCAGAATACCTGGTACCTCTCTCGCTAAGACCAAAGAACTTCGCGGTTAAATACCGCTCTTCCTCATTATGTATTCAGACGTGATTCTAAAACTACATTCTGGCCGGAAGTAGTAAGTTGAAGTTAAGAATTTGACAGGAAAGGAACTTAAAATTTAACTGTTAATAAAATTAACATAATTCTTACAAGACTAAGAATTTAATATTTAGCTATCAGTGTTTTTGAGCTACAAAGCGTAACTATCAAAAGTGTCTTACAAGTACCAAACTTTAGATTTCATATTGCTGAATATTTAATGCAGCAGTTTTCAGTAGATTGGTAAAAAGATTACATTAATGTTAGACCTCAGGCCACCCAGACGGTGCTGAATATTTAATGAGGAGAAATTTGAACTCTTTTTCCTTTATGATATTATTATTAACGTATTTTTGACACATTTAGTATGCGAAATTTAGAATTTATTAGACTAAAGGGCGTTAGCATAGAAAGGCTATTAATTTCGTTTTGCCATTTTGTATTGAAAACTTTAAAAGGCTGTATCACTTTTCAAACTGCTGCCACCAAATATTACCCCCCCCCGTATTACATTTAAAGAAATTAAATAATGGTTGGTTAACTTTTAATGGCACAAAACCTTGAGGGTTATTATGCGGTTATTATGCAAATGATGAATAAAATCCAAAATGCACAAGCACACTGTATCAGATGGATTGTTGAAATGAACCTGTAATGCTCATGAAGGAATGGAGAAATGACTGAGAAATGCTCTACCAACAGGTGGAGCAGGATTTAAAAGAAGGGAAAAAAAAAATTAAAAAAATTCAAATCATATGGTAAAAAGAGATGGCTTTTAAAAATCTTATGAGGTTGTTGTGAGGGTTTCTTCTAATGAGATCTGTTAAGTTAACATTCGTAGAGTTAAAATAATATTCACGTTTCTGACTAAAAGCAGGACAGCAGGTTAAAATGTGATTGACTGAAACGGGAACGTTGCAAGTACCACAAATAGGCTCATTATCTCCTTTGAAGAGATACTGATGTGTCAGTCTGCAGTGACCAATTCGCCCGCGAGTCAGTAGTACATCCTCTTTTTGGTTACCTCTCAACTCCCAATACTCCAAATTGGATTTTACCTGCTTTAATTTGTTCACAGTCTGGCATTCCCAAAGTTCTTGCCACCTGGACATCATCTTTGTTCTGATGTAATTCCGTATGTCTGTAAAAGGGATATCATTTTCAGAGGTAATATCAGCAGATTTTGCTGCGATATCGGCGAGTTCATTGCCTTTGATGCCAGCATGTCCAGGCACCGAGTAGTACACAATAGAATAATCTGCGTTTCTCAAACGGAAGTGTGCCTTTAAAATTTCTAAGACAAAAGGGTGGCTGGTATTTGTATTTATTGATTCAAGAGCACTCAGAGAGTCAGAGTAGACGATAAACTTTCTGCTATTCTGCCAAGAGATAAAGATTAATGAATTCAAAATGGCAAAAGTTTCTGCAGTAAAGACAGATGCGACACTGAGCCTTTGGGTACATCTTCCTGTTGTACAAATACTTGAGAAAGCAACGAACCAGTTTTAACTTGGAAAGTGGCCCTTCAGAAAGTTTTGAATGAAGATGGGTAAATTACCTCGCAATCCAGTGCTGTAAAGGTCATGAAGAGTTCCATGACGCCAAGTTCTACCGTTCGCCTTTTCCATGTCAGAGAAAATTGAAACCATATGATTTCTTTTCAAAAATGCATTGTGTTCTGCGGTTTTTAAAGACAGAGCATTGTCAAGAGAAAATCTTCCCTCGGAAACCACTTTGGTAAGGCGATAGACAATGATTAGTCTCCGGATAGTAGGTGAGAGAAATTAAATAATGAAGAATCTGCATAAATGTATCTATGTTTCTCGCACTGTGATAAAACAACGGCATCTAGAGCCATCAAATTTTCAGTAACGTAATCCTCCACCCAAA